TCATCGTCGTGGGCGGGATTTAAGTCCACTACAGTCGTCCCTCGAAGAGAAGCTCCTCCCATCCCATCTGTCGACGATGACGGTTGGGAGTTTCTATTAATGCCTCCACCTGGAAAAAAGATGGAGTTCGATTATTGAACGACTAAATGCGGCGTCGCCTCGCTTTTCTCAGCGTCTTACCTTGCCCTGCGGAGGAGGACGATGGAGGCAGAGCAAGGATGTTGGCTCCACCTCCTCCTCCGTTGGTCTGGGAACAGACGTTGGCGTGGCGTGCGGCAGCTTTCTGCTTGTAGTGGTTGCTGTGCAGCTTGTACTTCATCAGGAGAATGAAGATGAAGACGAGGACAGAGGCCACGATGATCCCCCCGATGATGATGATCATGGTACCACCCAGGAACTAGAGGAAGAGTACAACGATCATGAGCACTCTTAAAATATCGAAGTGCAAGAGGGTGATCCATGATTCCTGAGTAGTTTCACTGAGATGAACCACATTAAAGGTGGAATCACAAAAGAAGCAAAAAGAAATAAAGAACAAAAAGCTGAGGTGTCAAAAAGCAGGTTTAGTTAAAATTACATATTTATCGGTTCTTTTCTGATGCACTGCAATCAAAGCAAAACTCTGTAAACATTAACATGAAGAAAAATAAGGTGAAGGACGAAAAAACAAAAACAAAAAATTAATTAGAAAAAGAAAACAGCGAAATAAAAAAAATAACTCAATTAAATGTAATAAATGAAACAAAAATCAAACACAGTTCAGTAATTAAAGAGATCTGTTTGTCTTTTATTGTATTTTCTGTCCTCTGCAATGATCTCATCATCTATTCATTTATTCACTATTAAGATTTATTACCTAACATTCAAACCAAACCAAGGACATAACAAAAACATTTTTCAAAGGCGCATGTTGGATTTCTCTGAGAACTCAGAACTAATAGTTAAAAGCTATCAATAGTCCCCGTCCTTCTAAAGCCAACTAAAAAGGACAGAATGGGAAGAAACTGAACCGTTTACTCTTGTTTTCTTTTTAAAAAAAATATGTTTATTACGATTTTGTGATTATATAACGGGGGAAAAAGAACAGACAAAGGAACAAACGGGCAAGAACACACAAACAAGGTAAAAGATTACACTGCAACAACAAAAATATTACTTCAACACCGACAATAAACACAAGTAGAACGTTTGGGTGTTTTTTGACCGATCAGAGAAATTTATGCTTTGATAAATGATCTAAAACAGGTTGCCACACATCAAAGAACTCACTAAGTTGGTCCTCTAATGGATCCCTAATCCTCTCTGCGACAAAGCAGTCAGTTCTGCTAACCACAGTTCGATCTGAGGCACAGTGTCAGACTTCCAGAGGGTCAAAATCATTTTCTTAGCAACTACCATAACGAACAAAACTGTAGTTTGTGCAGCAAGGCTGAGGCGCAGGGGGGAAGAGGAAGATCCAAACAATGCAGTTACTGGTCCGGCTCTAATGTGCAATTGTACATAAAGGAGAAACATTTAAAGATATCCAGCCAGTAATTGTAGAGTTTG